GCTGATGCTTCTGCACCAGTTCCCATCTTGGCTTGTTCACTGACCCAGCCAAGGAGAAGCACACACAGGAAACACTGCAGGGCAAGCTCCCTGCACCCTGAGGCTGTCTGGGGAGTGTGTCCCCAAAGGCTCCCTCCCCAGCAGGCCAGGGGGCCGCTCCACCCATGCTCCAGACCTCAGCCTGGTCTTCTTCCAGAGCCCAGGTCACAGTAACTGCCATGTGCTGAACACCTAATGTGCACCATGCCTGGCAGCTCCTACTGCTTTTGCACATCTGGAATGCACGCGAGTCCTTGGAGGAGACTGTTACAGTCGTGTTAGAGATGAAACCGAGGCTTAGGCGTGTGACTCTCCCAACAGCACGCGGTTAGCAGCGTGGGGGCGGGTTAAGAATTTGCACCTGCAGGGATTTTAAAATATGTCCACAGATGCTTTGCTATGCTTCCCTTCAAAAGGTGGGATCTAATTCTGTCCCCCCGAAGTGTGGCTGCTCTTGGTTGCTGGCTTCTAGAGAATGTAAGCCCTGTGACATCTGAGATTAGGACAGTAAAGGAACTGTGGCTTCCTCTTTGCCTTCTCTTAGGTCATTAGCGTAGCAGAAACCAGCTGTCGTATTGTAGACTCAGGCAGCCCCACTGAGAAGCCAGGCGGCACACTCCCCACCGAGCGAGCCACCCGGCAAGCAGACCTGCCAGCGCCCGCTGGGCCTTCAGGGAGGGCCTCGCTGGGCCAGCATCCACACCTTGACCCTGCCCACAGTACACTCATCCAAGCTGGAACCCACCCAGCTAAGCTGCTCCCAAGTTCTTGACCCCTGGGCACTGTGCAACAATGAATGGCTATTATTTTAAACCATTAACTTTTGGGATTATATCATATTTCACATAGTATAAGGTGCACATTTTGCCCAAATTTTTGAGGGGAAAAATAAGGATGTGCATTACACATGGGTACAATGATTGCATACCACGGTTACAATCATGAGTATAATGATCCCGTGTATAATGTGCACAGAAACGTGGGTGCACATGATACATGGCAAAATGTAGTATTTGTTACACAGAATTAGGTAACTAATACAGGCCTGTGCCCATCCCAACAACTGCTGCTACCTGCAAAATAAGGAAATTTGGTGACTATTTCTTTTGGAAGACTGAGAGAGGCTGGCCTTGGATGGAAGGTGGGTGAGTTCCAGAGGATAAAGGTAGGGGATGATTGCTAAGGTACTCGGGGTTCAGTCATTTCTAAGGGAGGTGTGAGCCCCAGAAGATTGGGTGGCTGGCCAAGAGCTGAGGTAGGAGAGACCCAGGCACCCCCTCCTGCTGACCTGCTCAGGGGCTGGTTTCCTCTGGAGCCGTCAGGTCACTGGACAGAAAAAAGCGTGATGGATGGGCAGTTAGAAGACGAGACCGTTAGAGAGGTCGGTACAGGGGTAGTTTCCCCTCCTTTTAAGCCCCAGCAGAAAGCAGGCACGAGCGGATGAGAGATCAATAGAAAACTGCATTTAGTTCAAACTGCATTTTAGCTCGAGCAAGTTGCCTGGAGCCATTCTTCTAAACCATAAAATTACCAATACACACTGTTGTGTTTTTTTAAGTCTTAATTCCAAAAACATACTGTAAACCCTTCCCTCCAATAACGCTCCCCTCCCACCCCCACAAATCCAAATCAGGTATCAAGTATTTGAGTATTGACAGTTTTATTCTTTTCGTAAAGCATACAAATACATCTTTACACATGGAGAAGGTGGTCAAAAGTAAGCCTTTACGGCTTTGTTAAAAATAAAACTCAGACCTACAACTTCCTGGCTGAATTCCCGAGGTGAGAAAACATCATATCTCTATAATACGCCCTCGCTCTGGCACATGCATCTTTTCCAGCCACTGCACCTCACTCAGACCTGTCTGAACAAAGGGAAGACCAACTTTAAGACCATGAAGGGAAAATACATGCCTCTTATAAGTGTTAAAGACAAGAAGCTATGGAATTCTAAAAACTCTCAATAAGTAGTTAATAGCACAAAAATTCTTAACTCCCATCTAGTTTACCTTTAATCAGTAGCAGTACCAATGACTACTTTAATACAGCATTCAGAGGACACTCAAATATCTATGCACAGTGACAGCAACAAAAGAAACATATGTTTAGCACTTCTAAATAACCCCAGAAGAGGGAAAATTCAGTATAAATGAATACCTGAAGATTAATTCGAGTATTTTTAAATGCATTTAAAAAATCGACCACCAAGTATTATAATTGTGGGTTCCAGGAAAGTAGGTATAGAGAAGCTACTACTTACTAAATAGTATATCAAGAAAAAGAAGTCACTCCCTTTGGGGAGAATTAATACTAGATTGATACTCATAAAGGAAGGTGGCATTAAAGGAAGATATAAAATTGATCTTTGATGTGAGAATAATGTTATTTCTTGCCTCTTAGGGATGTCTTACATCCTTCCAGAGAGACTCAGAAGAAAAGCCACGCAAATAAAATTCGGATCACAGGCCAGGTTAAGTGACTGTCTCAAAGCTTTGTCCCAAAAGGGGTTTCTCAAAGAGGTTAAAAATCTAATTGCCATCCAAATTGCTATTTCCAACCCAAATAAAAAAAATCATCTTCTCCTAAAGCAAGCCTGTGCACAGACCTCAGTTGAAAATTCGGGATGAGTTGAACGGATGAGACAAAGAGCGAGATATGCAAGTGAAAAAATGAAAAACCTCATCAAGCCAGGCAGAGTACAGCAGACCAGCAAAAGATAAAACACAAGCCGGCTTCTGCACAGAAATAGCTCATGTCCTTCCACCGATCCCCACAGAAATACAGCAGGAAGATGAAGCCTGCTGAGTAACCACCAAGAGTCCTGTCTTCTTAATCCAGGTCTCCCTCTAAATACAAGTGTTTTACCATATGGTCATAAGTAATTACTGAAAGGAGTGACTGCCAATCAGCAGTGCCTGTTTTGCACTCGTGTGAAGAAGCCAAGACAGGTACACTTGGGAGCCACTCTTCTTACCCCTTTTCGGCCCAATAGTTGCAGAATGTGAAGTACTTGCACCCACTTAATCCTTACACTCATAGACTAAAAGGTGGACAATGGCCTTGGGGAAGGGAAGCTTCAATGACTTAATCACATAACCGGGAGCGGAGCACACACAGAAAGGGGCCCAGAAAAAAACACCTTGAAAGTTCACAGGTAAGAAATGCTGAAGATGAGGACTACAATGAGGTGAACCAATGTCCTCAAGATGAAAATCGTTGCCCCTTGAAAACACAGCCCCCCGTGTAAACAGAATTTAAATAACTACTCTTAAGGAACATCTTCTCTCTAGGGAAGATCACAATGTGAAGTTACTTAAGACAGAATAAAACCTTTATGTTGCTGTAGCAGCTATATTCTTGGGTAGATTATACTTAAAATGTTGACTTGATGACTACTTCCTGCTACCTTATGATTACTTTTCTACTCTTTCGGTTTTGTGATCACTCACATTTAAATTCTGAATTTCATTATAGCCTGCAACATTCATTTTAGGGTAAAATAAAGGCATCAAATGAGGATGGATGTTCATGTACAGGGTATTAATTAATGGCCAAGTCATATATTTTAAGATATTTCATTATGTTACAATAATTTACCTATAAGACAATTATTTTGGTATAGTGGAAGTTGTATATCAGAATTTAACTTTTCCACATAGATCTTAAAGAATATTAGAAGTGTGATAACACAAACCTCCCAAATAATCAGGCAGTCTAAGGCATGTATAGGGCCAATAATTTAGAAATTTCCACCACTGTGAGGTAATCTTATAAATCAGACAATAACAGGTATTTGAAGTGGGGGCAAGGTGAACAAATAAATTGCTTACTTTTATGAAGTATTTGAGAACATATTTTTAAAAAATGAGATACAAAAGGAACTCCTTTATTTAAAAGTCACTATCTTAATAAGCTTCTTTAAAATAACTTACCTTATATTTGAGATGTAGCCATTTACACAGTTATTGAAGAAATCAGTATAAACGATACTAAAAGGCAGTTTTCAGGAGTAAATGAATCTGAGACTCTAAGACAAGCGAGCACGTTGAAATTAACTCGGAATTTGATTTTCTGCTCCAGTGATTCAGTGATTTATTATTTTATAGAGGTTTGGAAGAATTAATGAATTTCAAAATAGCTAATTTAACTTACTCAGCCATAGAATCTGGTGCAGCAATTAGAAGAAACTGGTTTTTCAAAATTTCTCTCCTCCATTACTTCCCTTTTCTTAATCTGGCCTCTCGATTAGCCACATATAGTTACGAAAGATATGATATGAGCCAGGATTTATGATGGTATGAAAACCATATACAATAAAGTCAATAAGAGAAGAAGGGATGATTTGATGCTGTCTCCAATGCTATGATAAAGAGAATTTAATGTATATATTTGTTGTTCTTACATCTACTTTTACTCCTACTACCAAAAAAGCCCTTCCATTTAACATTGTCATATAAAGTACTTTTTAGTTTATTTTTTTATGTGACTCAATAAAAACTTTTGTGAATTCTAAGTGCATTTCACTGGATATTAACCGCCCACATCCAATTTAACTGCCACAAACGTGGCGTCGGATGCAGCCGTCCCGGTGTTTACAGTCAGGGTGAGGATGACGTACTTGACTGACGAGAGGCCTGTACTCTGGGTGTGTTCTGAGCTCCTCTCAGAACTCCATTCATTCTAGATTCTTCAGGGAGGCTCATCAGTTGATGAATTACCCTTCTCTTTCCTTCCTCTTCTTACTCTGCCTGATGTCTTATTCATTTTCTGTCACATCCTCCAGAACAGAAGGGAAATAAAAATAAAACCCACTGACTCTCAATATTCATAATGAATTAATTATATCATCAATCACTATGGTATACTGACCATTTCTCTGGATCATTTTTCATTAGCAATAAAATCCTTTCAATTTATACTTCATAACTAGTATTTTCTACTTGAATGCGTAGCTTTAAAACAATGACTTGAAGAGCTAACTTTACACATTTCCAAATACAGTCAACATAACTGCAGCCATAAATGGACATTTTCTTAACCATTATAAATCTGTGCCTGACTGAACCACGTGTTGTGAATGAGCTGTGGTTCAGCACATCACGGAAAACCTCCCATCACTACTAGGAAGGGCTGAAAGCCGGAAGTGCGATCCACTGCATGAGAGTCAGGCAGCCCTTCGGGCCACTGGGAGTGTACAAAGTTATTCCCCATAACCACTGTGGACAAAAGTGTGAACAAGATAAAGCAGTATTTTGAAAATATTTTAATATTTGCCATTTTTGTTGCCTGTGCTATTAATATATACATGGACTTAGCAATAAATATACCACTATTACATAGAGTGCAATTACTTTTAGTATTCATAACTGGTTGAAATTAATGCTGCGTCAGCTCAAGAAATGAATAAATAAGTATCATGCCCAAATTCCAAACTAATGCTCCAGACATTACCATGAACAAAAACGATAAGATAAACATGTTGGGCATTATCTCTTTCAGCATGATTCCTGTAAACATAGCAAAGATCACCTTTCTCAGTCCTAACATTTTGTGACGGCTTTAAAAGAAGATATACAAATTCTATCATGTCTTTTTGCATAGAAAATGAATTGATCGTATTTTTAAATGCAGCTACCGTTCCGTGAAGTGTCTTCATCACACAGCACTTGTTTTCTGTATGAATTCAGAACTTTTGAGCAATAAAAGTGCTCTGCATACGTTTATAAAATATGCTTACTGGATTTAAAATTTAACAGGAAAATTTCCAAACAGGTCATGGTGATGATTCTAAAATATTCTGTACATAACATCCGGCTCCAGGAGGACACTGCCTCTCTGCAGCCCAACACAGTGTACGAATGTGAAGCACAGTGTTTCCCAGAAGTTCCCTTTAGGTTTTCCTCACGTCGGTGCCGAGGTGGCTAACGATGACGTTATGTATGCCACACGGACCGTTCTACTTGTTGCAAACAAGTAGAAGGGGGATGTGAGGACAAATTTAAAGTAGATAATAGAAAAAAACGGCAAAAATACAGTACATATGCTTTAAACAGTGCACTTTACAAAATAGTTTGCTTTATTCATATTCTTTCATAAAGTGCAATATAACTTAAAACAGAGACATTGTACCTTAATGTTCTGCAATAACCATTAAAACAAATTGCCAGGAAAGAGCAGTGCAAAATTAAAAACATATGTAGCTCAGCATGCATCTCAGATGGTCCCAAATATAAAGCCTGGGACCCTGAGTCCTTACAGCTCTTCTACTACTTTTTAGAAAAAGATTAATGAGAGCAGGTTATCATCATATGTAACCATAAAACAGCAATAAGTTAAAATCCTCTCTCATGAAATAAGTGTAGGCCACACATAAAATCCATCACAGAATCTTTTTGAACATAGACATTTTTCTCTGATAAGTCTGTTCAAAGGGCACAAATCTCTTCAAAACCCATATTATCCACAAGGCAAAGCAAAAGGCGCCACCAGCACAGTGGGGGTAACTCTCATCGGCAGACGTCTGAGAACCCGCCACTGGCTCTGTAAGCGGTTCGCATCTACCCAGTCCGCGTTAAATCTACAGGGGCCTCTGCTCTTTCCAGAATCGTCCCACTGGCATCACGCTGGGCCGCTCGACAGCGCGACGTGTGCTTGATTCACAGTAACATTCTCTGTCCAGTGCTTTGGGACAAGGAAAACCGACTGGGTTTTCCTGAAAACCCTCCCTAAGAGGCAGATTCCAATGAGACCAGGGGCCTCGTTTGTAAAAGCACAACCCACCACCGCAGGCGTCCGCCGAGGGACCGGCGATGCGGTGGCGCACCGGTCACATTCCTGCCACTCCTGTGCTCTTCAGTCGGAGAACTGGAAGAGGGTCTCGGGGTTACTGCTGTCCGCTGGGTTGCTGGGCTGCAGCGTCTTCGTGGGCGTGGTCTTCCCGTGAGAGTGGGAGGAGGAGGAGTGGGAGCTCTCGCTGGAGCTGCTGCGCGTCTCCGTGCTGGTGCTGGTCTTCTTCATCTTCCTTCTCTTCGCCAGAGGGGCCTTATCCACATTCTGAAGGCAAAACCCCTCCCTCTTGTACTTGTTAAAGGCCTGGGGGAGGAGAGAGGGAACAGTGATGAGGGTAAAAGGATCGAAGGTGTCTTGGCAATTATGACGTACAGAAGACAACTTAGGCTTGTCAACCACAGCTCCAAGTGGTTTGGGGAACACAGTCCTTAACTCCATTGTGTCCACACTTCCTCAGGGGTACAGTGGTTCGTGGGAAGATTTCTGAGGATGTGGCTTAATCGAGCCAACTGGGCCGTCCGGGAGTCATGACTAATGTATCACTCGACACTGGTGCTGCCTCTCAACTAAAAAACACTGGCCCCTGGAATTCCTGAAGACTGTCAGCAGCCCACCCCCACCCCCACTACTCTCACTAGTTCTGTGTCTGAGATGTACAATTCTGACCACAAAGTCCTGACACAGAGCAGACTCAACCCATGTGGGCCCCTGCTCTCCACTTCCAAGTCAACGCACTTGGGTGTATCTGGGCCACTCAGCGTACACAGAGAAGATCAGGACTACAAACCTCGGGCTGGCTTTCAGCTCACGGCAGCCTGTCTTTCCATTTCTTAGACTCAGGCTTAGGCACCACTGCGGTTGCCCAGGGCAACCTTGCCTCATATGTCACAGGGAAGATTTGGATCATCTGCTACAAATTCTTGCAGTTAATCCCTTTACACCTCACCACGTCCTAGTTCATTAACTTTTTAATCAATTTCTGCAGAGAAGAGGCGATGCGCTCCCTTCTTTCTCAAGGTCACCCCTCCAGAGGCAATTTCATTTCTCCTTCCCCCATCTGCTCCTCAGACGACTGTGTAAACGCATCTGCATCTGTGTGCTCAGTGTGCAGCCCCTCGATGCCTCTCCCACCACGCAGTCAGGGCCCACTGCCAAAGAAGCTCCTGCCCATCTCCAGGATGATGAGGTGCAAAATGGTTGTTGAATGAACAAACCTTCACACGCGCCTTAGCCCCTAATGTTTACTTACAGTTTTTAAAGGAAACGATTTAACTTATTTAAGAGAAAAAAGTTCTAATATTTTTTAGGACATTGTTTTCATGACCTACAGAAAATCTTCAACTATTCGAATATCAGATACTGCCTTATCTCACAAACTCATTCTGAATGTCAAGTACGAATATTGTGGGTCAGCAGTGACTCTGGGCCCCCATGCACCTTCTGTTTATAAATGCGATTATATCATGGTGGGGTTTATAAAAACACACCTAAAATGAAAAGAGCACTCATTTTAAATGTATTACTACGAGTGTGTCTCTGAGGTTATGGAGCCTCTGATTGTCCTCTTCAAACCCCCTGCGCGTGTGCAGCACGGGTGCTTACGTGGAAGGTCGCTTTCACACAGGTGTGCACGGCAGCCCCGGAAGAGCCCAGGATGTCGGGCGTCATCAGAGGGTTGGAGGACAGCTGACTGCCATCCTGAAGCCATTCATTGTATCTCAAGCCAGACATTTTAAGCCTTTTATTTGGATCAACTGTGAGAAGTCCTGTGGAAGTAAACAAGAATTTTTATTTTATAATCTGCCATTTCAAACATAGTTTAAAATCAGCCTCAGATGTAAATCTCAATTACACTCGCATGACATGATGGTTTCTCTAAGGCTTCGACCTCGAACAAAAATAATTACCTTTTCATATGCATTTAAATCCCCTAGTGAATACTGGATACTAATGAAAAAGCCCACAACAGCCTGTCTCTAGGAGGCTGCAGGCTAACTGACTTCTCAATCAGGAGAAAGGAACCACCCCACCCAGACTCCCAGCGGGGACTGGGTGAACTCCAAACGAAGGAGTGCCTAGACCTAGTACATTCTCGTACTAACATTTTTTTCTTAGTCCGGGCGTGTAGTAAGGCCTAGAGAAATGGGGATGGAGACTCAAAGGGGACCCTGGGAAGCGTCCAGAAGATGAGTCCTGGGGCAAGAGAGAAGCGGACTCCTGATGAGGGTGCCCAGGGATTCAGAAGAGCACGTGGACAGGCACACAGGAAGCGCAGCCCAACTGAGGAACTGCTGAGTTCCGCAACAGCAGAGGGACGGTGACACCAAGCAGAGGCAGGCAGGGTCAGGTCACGAAGGGCCTTGAACTTTGAATGCTCGGGAGTTTGACCCGAGTTAATGGATTCTCTAAAGGACTTTACAGAACAGAGGCATGAACATATTTGGACATCAGGAAGTTCCCTCCGCCAGTCGATGATGGGCAGGTAAAGTCAGAGGAAGTGAGACAAGCTGAAAGGATGTTGTAGGACCTCGAGAGAGAAATGGTGACAAGGGCTATGGCGGCAGCCATGTGAATGGGGCGGGGATGGCGAGGAGGAACGCCAAACCTGCAGGACCCAGGTACTGGCTGTGGACGGCCAGGAGGGCAGGGACCCAGGACAGCGGCTGGAAGGTGAGAGAGGGAGGTGGGAGGTGGCGAGGGTTGGGGGAAAGGAGGGTAAAAAGGTGCGGGTGCGATTTGGAGGTGCCAGACTGGGGTGCAGCTGGCTCCAAGTGCTAGTGTATGTGGTGACTGTGGGCAGGAGGATGGAAGGAGAATGTTCTGGAAGAAGAAAAGGCTCAACACAGTGGCCTGGACACCTTTCGGGACGGGGATTCCTTGAACAACTAACGCGTGTGATGGCGGGGACCCACCTCAGTCGCTGCACATCACACACAGTGTTCGATTTTCTTAGAGTCTTACCTTGGATCAAATCTTTAGCTTCTTGGGATACATTCTTCCAGGCTTCTCCTTCAAAGGAGAAATCTCCCTTTTTTATTTTCTTCATGATTTCCGCTGCGCTGGTACACGTCAAACTTTTGTCATGAGATTGGAATGGAACTTGTCCAGACAACATTGTATACTACCGAGAAAAAAAAGGACAAAATAGAATGTTTTGTTCAATAGTTTATGATGATTGGGATTATTGGGTTTAAAAGACTGCCTGGCTCCTATCACTGAAACAACCAACACATTTCAGAGAGTTGTAAACAAAAAGGAATAGCTTCTTCTGATAACGAGATTTAAAACCATTTTTATAACTGCTTAGAACAAGAATTAAAGGAGGAAATCCAGCTGTCTCAAAAGATGGCATGAAGGTTAAAGAAACTTAAAGACAAAAGAATCCTGAATAACTATTTTTTCTCTCTGATTCCACACATCATTTCCTTGGGATATTAACTGTGGATAAGAACTTTAAAATTTTTTTATACGTATCCTTCCTTCTTTATTTTGTTCATTACTATCCCCACTTTAACTTTATTTTTCTCATTGTGTCAAATACAATGACTTCTCTACCGTCACCTTGTTTCACTATAGCCACGGGTTTGGAAATTTTACATGGAAGGTTTTATCCTTCAAAATGTCAACAGAGTTCTTTACATATTTTGGAGATTAAATCCTTGTCTGAGGTATCACTGGCAAATATGGCTGTTTCTCTTATTTTCATACTGTTTTCTTTAGCTGTGCAGAAGCTTTTTATTTTGATGAGATCCTGTTTATTCTTTCCTTTATGTCCCTTGCTCTAGGGGACATATCAGTGAAAATGTTGCTGTAATATCTGAGATTTTCCTGCCAATGCTCTCCTCTAGGACTTTAATGATATCATGGTGTATATTTAAGTCTTTTATCCACCTTAAATTTATTTTGGTGTATGGTGTAAGTTGGTGCTCCAGTTTCATTTGGTTCAACTTTTTAATGAAAAAAAGTCAACAGAGAAACCAAAAGCCAAGGCTTGTCTTTGTTGCAGAGGCTGCATCTTTGAAAGTGACCCTTAATCTGGCGGAGGCTGTGCTCCCTGCTCGAGGGCTTGTCGGGTGGAGGGAGCCGTGAGCTGGTGGTCAGGAGGGAGTGTCTGGGCACAGACCAGGGAGAGCTGAGTGGGGCGAGGAGGGTGGAGGTGTTGGTTAGTTAGGAAGGGTCGCAAAGGGTGGTGTCTCTGTTTCCACCCCAGGGCTGAGTGGGACCTACGGAGGCATCCCAGGGACCCAGCAGGAATAAGCTGTTGTTCTGTTCTGGCCACCTGTCTGACAGGCAGGCGCACCCCCACGATGGCAGAGACAGTGAAGCAGCTCTTACACACTGGCTCAGAAAAGATGGGAATTCCCAGGCAGGATAGTAAAAATAACACAAAAAAGGAAAACCGAGAGCTACAACCCAGCAGTGGCCTACAAAGCCTAATTAAGAAGAATGGGAGGCACGGGACTGAAACACAGACAGAGAGGAGAAACTTGACCCCCTGAGGCTACCTGAGACCAGGTGGCTTTGGGCAAATCTGGACTTTCTGAAAAAGAAAGTTGTGCCTGAGAATAAAAACGATACTCATGAAACTGGAGAGTCTGAAAATAGAAGACAAGGAGAAGAAACCTGTTTCGAATTTCAAGCAATATAATGAGAAAAATATTTGTTCTAAAGAGGGGAATGCTAGAACATCTATAGAACAAAGACAACTTTAAAGAGCCCCAAACCTCCTAAACCTGTGGCATGGAGGAAGGAAGGCTGCAAGGGATGGGACTGAACGAGTCCTCGGGGTAGGAGAAACCGCCCTCCATTCCTCTCCGCAGTCCCCTCGCTGACCCCTGCCTCCACCTGCCTCTTCCACGCGCCTTCTCTCCGCCGTCCTTCAGGCAGACACACAGTCACATTTATGCTCCGGACTCTCACCCAACATGCCCCTGCGCGAACTCCTTCCCTGGCTCCCCCGCAGCCGCCCCTGGGGCCCCGGCTCCTGTAGTTCCCGGGCTCCAACCCCACTTTCCCTGCCAATGGTTCTTCTGCCTCCCTGTAACTTTGCACAAGCTACTACATCTCCTTAGAATGCCATTTGCTTTCTTTAGCTGGCCAAGTCCCACCCCTCTAACTAGGGTCTCTGTCCTCTGTCATCATTACAGCAGAGAGAAGACATGTAGTACAGAAGGGGAGAAATGAGCTTGACAGCCAGACAATCCTAGCTTCAAACAGTGCTTTTTTATTTACTAGCTTGGGCAAATCAGTCCACCTCTCTTAGACCTATAGATAACATGAACTAAATCAAGCAATCCACGGTGCTTGGTAACAAGCAGTAGCCAGCTCACTCACACACTCCCTCTCCGTCCCAGCCTCACCCCATTCATCCCTTCTTCCTCTTCCTCTGGCTGGATGGCGGTAGGGACCCCCATTCCCTATGGCAAGTGGGGTGGAACCATGCGACTTCAAAGCCCCTCCAAAGGTCTGCTTTCTCAGTCTCTGCTGGCACCAACTATCTTGGGTTCCTCAGAAAGCAGAGTCTACAGCAAAAGCTTCTACACAATTACATCACTAAAGAGCACAGTCTGTGAGGAGGAGGAACTGAACACGGGGACAGCCTACACACCACAGGAACTGCAGCCCATGGCTACAGTGGCCAGCAGGGCTCAGCTGCCACGCTGAATGTGGTATGAGTCAGCATGGCTCTGGCACTGATGAGCGCCTACTCACCTGGTCACTGCATTCTTCTTGGTTCCCTTCAGTGGGAAAGGTCAAAGCAGTAGGTCTCCAAGGGCAAGGGCAGCACTCGCTGTCTGACCCGAGAGCTGCGTTGCCTTTCCTGCTCTGCTATCCTAGTCTGCAGGGCCCTGATCGTCTTGACACGCTCAGAAACCCCTGCTCGTTCTCTATGTTGCTGTCTTCCCCAAATGAGACCTGGTGAGCGGAAGCCAGCAGGTACCCTGAGTCCCTGTAAGACACGCATGCCCGAGTGAGGAGGTAAACTGCAAACATTCGGGGGACTGTCGCCTTGGTAAAGAGTTTAGAGCACCAATGGCCGGGGCACAGAGATGCCCCCTCTGAAAGACAGACTGCTGTACCTCGTCCCACTAGGAAAGGAGCGCAGGGCTTAGTGGCTTCCTTGGATTCAGGCAGAGGCGTACACTGCAGCTGAGAACACTGCTCCAGTCCCTCTGTCGGGTGACTCAGCACACTACCAGCTTCAAGCGCGGCCCAGAGTAAGGAGGGTTTTGTTGTAGCTGTCACAGAAACTGTCTACTACTGAGGCCGTAGGACCTGGCAGACACGACTGTGCTAGAAGATCTGTGCGAGATGCGAGTGCTGTAGGGGCTCCAGCAACTCAGAGGGCGGGGTCCGGGTCGAACAGGATTTGTGTCCTTGCCAAAAGCCACCCCAGGGAGCCTGCTCACTCGCTCCCCAAGTATGAGAGGAGAGGGTATGTGAGAACACCACCACGCGGGCCCCTTCACAGCGGATTTCCCAGCGTCCAGAACTGTAAGAAAATAAATGTCTGTTGTTCAGCCAAGCAGGGTGCAGTGCTTCCTTACGGCAGATATGGCGGATGCAGCCCCGAGCAGACGCAGGCAGCGTGTGAGCTCCATTTCAGTTAAGGTCCTGGTTGTCCCAACGGGGGCCCCACATCCATGAGGTGGACTGGGTGTAATCAAAGCCACGTGACATTATGCGGCGCATCTTCCTGATGTATTTGTTTTATTCAGTGAGGGTAGTATCATTAACTTTATAGTAAAATACCCACATTAGTGTGAATTAGATTCAACATGCAAAAGATTTGTAAGGCCACCGATTTCTAAGGCAAATCAGGAGACTCCAAATACACCATGTGCTTGCCGTGGGGGGTTCGGGCTGTGTATCTGGATCCTCTGGTGATAATCATTCATTCACCTGGAAGTGCCTGCGGAGACCTCTGTTTTCTTGACAGTTTAATGGTTCACTTTATTTTTCGTCTGCATTTCATTATGTATCTCTAAAAGGCAAGGATTTTAAAAAACCACAACCATAATACCATTATCCACCTAAAAAATATGAGCAGTAATTCCTTCGTATAATTTAATATTCAATCAATATTCAAAATTCCCCATTTGTATTATATGTGCTGTGTATCATAATTACATCGGTATGACTTAGATTTAGTTTGAATTTAATAAATAGAATTGAAATTAGAATTTGCTTGAATCAGAGTTCAAGTTAAATGCAAACACTGTTTGTGAAGTGTCTTTTAATCTACAGATTCCCACACTGCGTTTCCTTATCATTAATTGGCTGGGAACTGGGTTGCTTGCCCTGTAGAACTTTGTGGAGTCGGGCTACTGTGACTGCTCCTGTGGCACCGTTTCACCGGTTCTTTGTCCCCTGTTTCTCTGGAACACGTGACAGTTGGATCCAGAGAGCAGCACGGCTTCCGCCGGTCCCACCACACACAGTGACTTCCGTAGATACGGCCCTGGAAGCTGGAAAACACCTGCCTGCATGTCTAAGGCGCTCTTCTGAATGAAACCTTAGAAAGGATAATGGTTATAACTGGCTCTATTTAAAGTAAGGGTTCTTTTACAAGGGGTAATCCTGTATTATTTAAAGAAACAAAAGGCTCTTTTTTATTTAGACCTATTTTTTTTTCAGGAGAGTGCTACTACTGTTTTTAAAGTCCTTAAATAAAACTCTCAAATCGATAGAGGTTAGCTGTTTATTTTTATTTTAAAAATCTGATTCATAAATATGTATTTTTAGTTTGAAAATTATAAGCAATGACTTAAAATGACTAAAATGGAAACCAAATAAAGCTTAAAATGAAAAAGGAACCGTCCTGCAAGAACACCTGGCTAGCCCTTAGAAAAAAGAGGCTGCCACCAAAATAAATCCCAGATGGAGTGCAGATTAAGGCGCAAAAATAAAACAGAATTCCAGAGGCGCATTTAGGAGAATCAAATTTCACGTCAGTCTTAGACTGACAATCCGACGTCAAAGCTGGGCACCATAAAGGCACAGACTGACACATCTTACTACATATAAAAAAAACTTTTCTATTTAAATCCCTCTAAAAACAAAATTAAAATCCCATATTACTATACACAAAGTTTCAAAAAAATGACAAGCCAGAAAAAATTTTTCCAATATTAATGGCAGGCAAAGGATTAAAATCCTTAACAGAGCTTTAACATTTAATAAGAAAAAGTTCCCACAGGAACTTGGGCAAAGCTCAGAGATGGCCATTCATAAAAGAAAAGTCCAGAGGCCCACGTACCTGAGAACGCGCTCCGACAACGTTCATCACAGATGTGCACGCGAGGGGCAATGACAGGGAGTATTTAAGACTAAATTAAAGAGTCTTCCTTGTGTTTGCAGACAGTTCACGAGAACATGGTATGAAAATCCCTACCAGAAGGAAATCTAGGGATAGATTTCAAAATAAAGATGTATATGCCCTTCCCCTAGAAATTATTCTAAACAAATAATGAGACAAATATAAGCACATACATAAAAATATTAATTTGTATAGCTGAAAATCCATGAAAAATTGGAAAATGCTAACTTCTCATCAGTAAATGGTTAAGTGAACTTCTGGGACTCAAACCACGTGTACAAGCATACTATAGTCTCATTTCTTAAAAAGATTTTATTTGTTTACTTTTAGAAAGATGGGAAGGGATGGAGAAAAAGGGAGAGAAACATCAGTGTGTGAGAGATACATCGACTGGTCTCACATGCCCCCAAATGGGGGCCTGGGTTGCAGGCCAGCCAGGCACGTGTCCTGACTGGGAATCGAACCAGCGATCCTTTGGGTTGCAGGCCAGCACTCAATCCACTGAGCCACATCAGCCAGGGATATAATCTCATTTTTTAAAAAACCCAAGTATATATGCATGTTACGTAGAAAAAACTTGTAAGGAGTCCACAGTATGTTGGGGGCAGGGGAGGGAGATGGAGAGCTTACACCGCACCACCTGTGTATGATGAGGTTGTGAGTGATGCTGTACCTTCTTCTTTCTGTGTTGTCTGAAAGTATCTCTCTAAGATGATGCATTACAAATTACAAGCATGAAAAGTTAAGCAATTTTGAGAACAAGCATGCTGAGGTTTCGCTAGCTTAATGTTCTGTTTCTGATCACTGCGGCCAAGGACGTTTTGTGGAAAGCATGCTTACCACAATTATTATGAGTTACTATAAACATTCCTAATTTTATCTATTAGTTTGTTAATTTATCCTAAATGATATTCTTTAGTTACAGTTTTGGTCTCAAAACCTGAAAGAATATATTTGTAATGTCTTTCTATTTAGTCATTTGCTATTTTCACACTATAGTATGCATAGCTTTTGAAAATATACTATTCTTAAAAAAAACAATATATAACTCTTATTTACATAAAACACAGCTGCCTTGAATATTTCTGAGTAAAACAAAATCTAAATGCCTACATTTTCTCCAGTGCAAATTTTAAGAAAGGGAAACAGTCTTCTGTCCGGCCTCTGAGTGAAAAGGAACCAATGTGGCCCATTTTCTCGGGAATTTGGGGAAGGCGGCAAAGAGAGAGGTGGGCACAGAGGACAGGGGAGAGCGGACCGGGCCTGGTGGCTCTGCGGGAGTGAACTCACCAGAATGACGCCCAGGCTCCAGAGGTCGCAGGACTCGTCGTAGCCGTTGTGGTTCAGGAGCTCGGGCGCGGCGTAGTGCAGGGTGAAGCAGGGCGTCTTGAGAGGCTGGTTATCCGGCGGCTTTAAGCGGGCAAACCCGAAATCAATGATTTTAATTTCCAAATTGTCATTTTCATCAGTGAACAACAAATTCTGCAAGGTACAAACACTGACATCAGTCTCTCATTAAAATGTCACGGGACTGGGTGAAGCCATTTATGTGAGTTTCGTACTGACACCAGCATCAGACACAGCGAGGCTCTGGGGGGGGGCTGGGCTGGACGTCAGTGTGTCGGTGTAGCTCTACCCTCTGCTTTGTAACGTTTCTCGTTATTTCAGTGTTGCAAAGTCACGGGAAACGTGTTCGACGGCATGGCATCTCGTCTGCTGTCAGGGCCTCTGTCTACGCTTCTCTGGAACTCGGCCTTTGTGTTCTACTTCCTCCACCAACCTCCCTTCCTAGAGGGCACGTGAGAGCCTGCCCTCCATTCAGGGACCGTGCCACCACGCCACCAAACTGAGGTTAAGACTTGATACATTTCTCTGAGTACCGTTTACACCTCCTTCCTGGCACGTACCACCCTGTGCATTACCAGTCTGATGTCTTCATCCCCATTAGACCATAGTTTCACCTCATTTACAACTGCATCTGAGGGTCCTGCATAGTCGTATAATAGGTGCTTTATAAATGTGTCCACTGAACAAAGTCATAGATAAATAGTTATATAAGACTTAGTACAGCCCAGTAGAGAAGACATGGTGGAGACACACATTTCAGAACTCTCTTCTCCAAAACAGTTAATACTTAAACATTTCTTATGCTCATGGATATTATACCTCAATTATTCAGAACCCACTGTTACTCTGAATTGTTCATCCACTAAGGCTCTTGATCACTAAGGTTTTACTGCACTACTCTTTGTGATGATCACATCCTAATAAATGCTAACTGCGCTGATGCACAATCTTCATTTTTATTAGCATATCAAGCTAGTCCCACAATAAGTAAATCTGACTATATTGTCTTAAGACATCCTAACAAAACCTGTTATACCTTTAATGTTCACTAAATTATACCCCAGCTCTTGCTTTGCTAACATTATTCTAACCAGAATTTTAAAAAATGCATCATAAGAAGGCTTATTGATACAAAGAAGAAAAATCTTCCAAGCCTTTTATTCGAAAGTTAAGTAAAGTAAGAGGGACAAAAAAACAAACTGAAAAGTGTTTGAGGCTTCCCCACAATTGAAGTCCTAGGTAGGTAGGGTTCACGAATGTGCACTTGGGAGACATGACCTTGGGAGACGTGACCTTGGGAGCGCAGTCGCTCTGCGGGGCAGGCGCCGTGCTGCAGGCAGAGCAGCGAGTCGAGCACGCCTGGTCCCCGCTGTCACTGAGCCCACTAGATCTTTGAGAAGGACTTCAGTTCAGTCCTCATTAAGAACGGCAGTGGGCTTCCTTGATACTAGTCCTTGAAGGAGAGGGTGCAGGAGGGTGTCCACAGGCAGGAACAGGAGGGAGCAGCCACTGTATCTCCTTGCATTCTCCCCTTGAGTTCTGCTTGAAACTAATTTCATACAATTTTTCTTAATCTTTCAGGAGTATGGGAACCAACTTCAAAAACACAAAGCAGTTTACTAAGAATATCAGCCAGCTTCTAAATTTATCTGCTGCTCACCTAGAATTTAGAATTTTGCCTACAAAGAAAATGGATGCCACATAAACATCTACCCAAAGATTCATAATCTAATCTTAAAATGCTATATCCCTGGGAAAAGTAGTACATTTTTAGTTCGAAAACAATATACTCTGCCATTTAAAAGTCAAAGCAAAAGCTCTTTATGAAAATGTTAGTACAAAGGTACATTTTCATTTCTCCAAAATATATTTTGATTTAGGGTTATAATTGTAGAATGTCCTAAAAAACCTAACAAGCCTTCATTTCGAATGACTATGTGAAAGGAAAGTTTTATAACAAACAAGGAGAATTATCAGTAAAATAGGAAGGCAAACTGAATTCTGCTCAGAGGACAGTTGCATCATTTGAGACTCATGAGATGACAGATGGCCAGTTATCAAAGAATAAAACATGTGAAAACGAATTCTATAATCACGGAACAGATCTTCTCAATTAAAAACTACATGCTTGTTCCTTGTCTACAAAGAAAACATTTAAGTGGTGTGCTTTCACGTTTAAAAATAGCCACCTAATCTCCATGCACAGGGCACCATACTTTTAGTGGGCGTGTGTAGGAGAGTGAGAACTGTGACGAGGGAAGCAGAGGGGTAGCTATCACAGTTGCAAGTTCATAAAACAAACTCATTTTTTATTAACCACTAGTAATGTGAATAACAGTAATAGAAACTACATAGACTGAAGTTTAAATACTGTAGGAATCACTTATGTTTGAATACACATAATTCCACTTTAAAAAGCATCTCTTCCAGCCCTGGCTGGTGTAGCTCAGTGGATTGAGCACAGGCCTGCAAACCAGAAAAATCATCTCCTCCTACCAAATACCCAAGATACTTAAATAAAAGCCAAAAATGCTGTTTTTTGAGAAATATTCTTTTGTGGTCTAACACCAAGTAAATTATTTTAAATATAACTGAAAATGCATTACAATCACGCGGGTAATTAAAAATAATGGTCTATTTTAAGTAGGAAATAGTGTGATTCTGCAGACAGCAGAGGATGGTTCATTGTTATTATTTCATAAATCAGAGGGTTTGCTTTTAAATTTTCATTCTTATTTTGATGATTTTCTAAAAGGAAGGAACTTTCTTATTTTTGATATTAAAAAAGAATCATTCTAGCATTAGAACCTCCTTTACTAACCTTTTCAAAGAAATGTGAAGCTGTTACTCCTGCATTGCCACACAGTCCCATAAATCTCACAGTACGTGAGCAAGGAAAGCACATATGTGGATGGCGTGAGTAATTAAACAAGACAACTCTTGGTGCTTTAATACTTAGAACAGAAGTACATACACTCCTATTCATTAGCTAATCGATTTGATTACAAATGTGAAAAACAAGGTTTCAAAATACACCATTAAAAAACCCCTCTAAAATAATATACATATAGAAGGAACATTATTTTCTGCTACAAAAATTTCCACTGCTATTTTTAGTCTACAACTGTTGCATAAAGTATTTCTTCCATAAAAGGCTCTCACACTTACAAATATAACCTCGAGATGATCAGCTGGCAAAAAAAGACAAATTTACTTGAGACTGAAATAGAAAAAATAATCCCAGAAACATGATATTTCCAAGTTTCTATTTAGCAGAAAGCCCTGACAAAAAAGCCCGCACGTGTCTGGGGACATTTAGTAGCGAGGCCGATGCAAGGACACGGGAGAGTGCGCCCGCCGTACCTCGGGCTTCAGGTCCCTGTGCACCACTCCGACGTCGTGCATGTGGCTCACAGCGGACACGAGCCTCCGCATGATGTAGCTGGCTTCCGTCTCGCTGAAGTGCTTCTTCTTCTTGATGCGCTCAAACAGCTCGCCCCCGTTCAGGAGTTCCATCACTAGGAAAGTATGAAGCTGGGAAAGGAAGGGGAAGAATGTGGAGGGCCTTAATGAAGAAGAGTGTCTGAGCATATAAAACATTTACTGACTACTGACGATCACCAATACATTTAAATGATTCTTTGTTAAAATGATCAACAGCAATCCTTTTATTTAGAAGAAAGAGCTGAAGCATAATGTGGCTTTTTTAGAATTCTATTTTGGTGATGGAAAATTTCAAGTACTGCAGCAAAGTCTTTATATATTCTTTTCCTGACTAATTCTTTCATTTGAATTCCATTGCAACCCCCTCTACCAAGTTTACATATCTTTCCTGTTAACGTGTGATCTAGCACTGATACTGTGAAATTAGCTGCTTTAAATAATATACGAGATTACTGACAGTCACTCTTTGAAAGGCACTGTTTGGTGATGTCACTTCAAACCTCCTGCTAGGGCTTTACACGTGACTTTCAGGGCTCTTGTCGTCACCCGCGGCAAAGACCCACTGCTCACTGTGGGTTTATTTTTAATAACTTCTTTTGGTCCCAATGGCATTATCTTTATTAATCAGTTACATATACTGAATACTTACTATCCTTTCCACAAAGAAAATAACATAGCTATTGAAAGTGAAGGAATTATATTGGCTCTCAAAGAAATGCAAATGATTTTTAAAATATATCAACTCTATTCAAATTCAGGTGCTATGCATTATAGCACCAACATCACTCAAAAAACAAAATAGAATGTTTTCCTTTGAATTAGAAAATCCAGAAAACTTGCTTCATAAAAAAGATAATCATAAATACATCATCCGGCACCTATTGAGCAAATTGTAAAGGGTGAACAACCCTTTTAGTAACAGAACTGTTCTCACTCAGGCTACCAGCGATCAAGCCAATTTGAGTTTCTACATCAGACAAGTAAGGTCAAAGTTGAAGGTGTGTTACAAGCACATGCCTGTGATCTTTAAAAAAAAATGGAGAGCAATACTACCCTATAGTGGCTCAAAAGATAGGTATAAGAGTCAAACCCAGATTTGAAGGCCAGTTCTCCCACTTATGACATTGGGGACATTAGTTTACCTCCATGAACTAACTTTAGAACCCTATACAAATAAAATACAGGTAACAATGACAAAATGTGTATGAGGTAGCTTGAATAATGGCCCTCCAAAGATGCCCATATTCTACTCCCCAGAACCTGTAGGTGTCACCTTACATGGTAGAGGGACTCTGCAGTTATGGATAAGGATCTGGAGGTGAGGAGAACGTCTCAATTACCCATCAGAGTCCACAGTGTGAGATGGGACTATGGGAACGAGAGAGGGGAGGGATCCAGGGAGGGGTGACCAGCTAAGGAACGCGGGGCAGTCTCTAGAAGCTGAAAAAGGCAATTGAACAGGCTGTCCCCTTAGGGCCTCCAGAAGGAGCCAGCCCTGCTGACACCCGACTTTCCACTAGTGAGACTGTCAGATGATACACCTGTGCTGTGGCAGGTTTGTGGTGACGTGCTGCCAACAGGAAATGAATACAGTGGTAAAGCACGAATCACGGCACAAAATGAACAGCACCGCAGCATGACTGGAGGCTGGGGTCCCGCCCACATTCCAGTCCACCACTAGTTGGAACCAAGACTGCATGGGTTGGGGACAGTCTAGACGATTGTCACCATCATGGATGAAACCCAGGATATCAACTGCATGTTCGAATGAAAACATATTTATACTAGTACCTATAAGATTACACCATGAGATCATTTATACCCTAGTAACTTTTGAATATAAAAAGAGCAAATAATAAATATAACGTGTGACATAAAACATTAGGGATGCAGTTCCTGCAATCTGACATTAGCCTGAATGCCTTTGGCCAGTCCCCTGACTGACATGCGAACCATTCTCAGCAGGAGCTTGCCCAGGCCCTTCCTAAGCCCCCGCCGTGGATGGGGGACACACCACCTCCACCATAGCCGATGAACCCAATTATGTGGAGGCAGTAGAGGAGTGGGAAGAGCATTTCCTACCGAGTTCTTGCCACAAATGGCTACGAGAACCAAAGGGCGAGAAGACAATATTCTTGCTCACCCACCTGATGTGAAAACTGGGCTGTGGAGCAAAGTAATTAAATGCTTGCTCTGAAGTTGGGCTGTTTGGGTTCGGACCCCAGCACTTGGACATCCAGACCGTGGGACCCTGCTGCTTAACTTCCCTGAGTTGCAGTTCTCTTACCTCCCAGAGCTGCTGTAAGGAGTGACTAAGATAACTTTAGAGTGTCTGGTACACTGCCTGGGCCACGTGAGACATGACAGTCAAGAGCGGAAGTTCTGACGGTCATGCTGCTGCCGCCGCCTGGTTTCACCAAGATGAACCGCTGAGGGTGCGGCACTTGGGGAAATGTCAGTGCGGGAGAGAAGTGGGCCACAGCTCTCCTAGACATGCATGTCACAGCAGCACAAGGACAGAGCCCAGGACCAGAGACTAGGCTTTCCCACAAGATTTTTACTGAACTGCTGTGACCTTAGACTAGTCCTGTGACCCTCCTGGATCTCAGCTTCCTCGTGGGTAAGACCTGATCATTTTAGCTCTGTGCCCAGCACGGTGTCCTGAGTGGGCTGTGTCATCCCACCGGCCCCGGAGGAAAAGATAACTGCAGTGCAGCAACTGCTGCCATGGAAGACACAGTGGGGACCTGGGGAGGACACACGGGCCTGACACAATGGCGCTGCCCGTGTACCCAAAGTTACATGCACCTGTGTTAGGTTTCTGTGAAAAATCAGGACTGGGAGCGGAAGAAGAGGGGGAAGCAGGACATGGCCTGTGGTGAGCAGAAACTGCCACGTGCACTAAGAAAATGAAAGGGACGCACGTTTGCCTTTCTGTTTCCCATTTACTCTTTAACTCGCTCTGAGTAGGTTTAAGGCTCTCCAGGTTCTCTTCTGTAAGTGAAAGGAAAGTTGAAGGCGTGTCTGAGTCCTGAGAGGTACAAGCAATTAAACTATGGTGACAGCAGCTGAACCGGTAATAAGCACGATGCGGCTGGTGGCGGTGGCCCTGGGCTCCTGGCCCTCTGTCCTCCTCCCATGTCACGTATGACTGCCACTGCAGTGTCTGGGTGTCATCCCACATCCCTAACTCTGACCCAACAGCACCGACTGAACTGGTAAAAAGCAGAAACTTCAGTGTGAATATGCACAGAAAAAAATGTGGAATACCTGATCATGAAAAACCTCATGCAGTTTCACGATGTTGGGGTGTCCTTCACAGAGTTTCAGGGCTGTGATTTCTTTCTGAGTGTTGGCCTCCATCCTACAAGATGAAACAGTCATCTCTACAGACCTCTTCACCAAGTCTTCATGTCAGTATCGCGCCTGCCCTGGCTTCGTTTTTATTTACAGTGTGTTCGGAACAGAGGTGTCAAAGTAGCAGCATGAAACTGCTATGAAAGTAATGAGTCACACGACCTACCCGCATAAGTGATGCTTTATTCTTGAGGAGAGATCATTTCTGAGTCAGAAAAGAGCTAGTAACACAAAGAAATGGATAGCCTACTGGCCCAACAATTTGGCAATAAGAATATACAATTATGGAGATAATAATCAGTTACCAAAACAACTAGTGGCTCTCAAAGCTACCAGTACATTGCTCAATAATTTTTTGAAAGTATTTCAAATATACAATGATAAGAATGACAACAGCTGCTGAACTCACTAAGTCTGAATAAATATCACTTAATTATGTTTGCTCATAATAAAGTCAAAAGCATAGCATACTATGATTTATGTCAAAAATGAGTGTTTATTAGAAAATATTAGAGTTAGAAGTATAACAGATCAACTGATGAGATGAATGGCTAAATCTGTGGGTACAATATACTGTTGATTTCCTTTAAAATAAAAATCTCCATTTACAGAATCCAATGAGCAGGATGAATACATAAGACAGACTGCCAGAAAGGGTCATACCTTTTGCTGATTATTTTGACCGCAAATGCTTGGTTACTTTTTCTGTGAATGCACTTTCGACAAATTGAAAAACTTCCTTCTCCCAGTGGTTTGTCCTTCAGATCTAGGTCATAGTGTTGATAGAATGGCGAGTCCTGATGAAAAACCAACATCATTTAACTTAGGAAAATATTAATACATGTGGGATAAATAAAACTGTAAAGGAATAGGACATTATTGTTAATAAACATGAGTGGAATTCATTTATAATCTTCTAAAATTTATCTTTAGCTCATGTCTGTGCTTACCTACACAATTTATTGAGGATACATAATTTTCTATTATTGTAAAAAGAGCTCATTTACACTGATGTTAATAATTCTCTAGGGCAAATATTGCTATTTCCATTTATTCATTTCTGAAAATCGCATCTTGGTCAAATAGCAAGTCCGCTACATTGACTAGACTTCAGAATGTGAATCGGTATTAGTACCGAAACCCTTGTGAACATGCCACTGAAGGGACTGCACCCGCGCACCTTTGTCATCGCGCTCCGGGCCACGTTGGTCATGCCCGGACGTTCCACTGCCACCTGAAACTGAAGCGGGTCTGCGACGGCTGCGTTGCGCTTGAAGAGAATGGAAGGAGCAACAAAGGAATAGCCCTAAAAAACCAAAGCAAAGGTGAAGAACAAAGACTTGAAATTTCCCAGTTTAACATGGACTAGACTGCAGTAAATTTTTTTAAGTGAAGAACAAAATAATAATAAACACTGAAACATTTGTTAAGATGATTCTAATTTCGTATTAGTTGTCATCTAAAATGAAAAGCTATTTCAAGTTAAGAGAAAAAATGCTTTTCAGAAGGAGATAATGCCATCTTCTGGTAGAGTTAAACCAATTCAAATGACAGGCAGAATAATACCTGGTCTCTATTCCACCCCAAAAGTATAACTCATAGCTGTAATTCTTTTGCGTTGCTGATAAAGGTTTGTTTGTAAACACAACTAACTTCTCAAAAAAGGCAGAGTTAAGGTATTAAGCAAAGTGGTCCAAGTGACTGTTCTCCAAACTAGAAAAAGAGCAAGTTTCATTCCAGTTGGTTTCTAATTCAATAATTATTTCACTCATTGTATTTCCTTAGACTAATTAAATGTGAAATTGAGTTTTGGAAAAGGAATATAATCAAGTGGCAGAATGATGTCCTGAACCAGAAGTGACACACTGATGGGTGACTAACCTTTTCAAGCTAGAACATTCACTAGTTCAATGAACGTTTTTTAAAACATCCACCACGTGCTGGACTTAGTGCGGACGTCCAGAGGCAAGGTCTGGACTGCTGGGTGCAGCCGCGCTAATGGTGCACTTGTGGGCGTCAGAGCCGTGACGCCATGACGCCGTGACGCCATGACGCCAGCTAGGAGTCAGGGTATTTCCTCTTAACTCTGAGAAAGATCCCTTTCTAAAAATAAAACCCTTTCTAAAAAATTTTTTTAAGATCATGGTTAAGATTATTCACTGATGACACCGACTCAGATAAAACTGTTTATGAACTAAAGAATATTTTATATGAATAGAGGTGAAATAAACTAGTAGCGTATTTTCTATGAAAGATCCAGAACAGAAAGTTTCAGAATAAAAATTAACTTTTTTTGTAACAAAACCACAAAAACATTGTCTTCTATTTAACAAACCAAAAGCTTCAGTTAACAGTTAGCAAATATCTGTGTTTAGTAATTTTGAAGAGGCTAGAAAACTGTTTTGAAAATGCCAAGATAACCTTCACATGAGAAGGTAACGTTTCACAGCTCCCGGAGATTACCTGAAACAGCCTCTCGGAGCTCTGGGGCAGCGCCGCGGGGGAGTAGGTGGGATCCATTTCTGTGAACTCTTCTGCAAAGTTGCTCACATCTAATTCATCTCGGATTACTGGTTTAAATGGTGCGGGCACTTTTTTGGCAGCTAAATCATCCCAATTTATTTTCTAAAACAAAAGAAGAAAATTAGTACAAAGTAGAAATCAGCAAAGCCGAAATGTGTCTTCTAAGAATTACAAAACCAGATTAGGATTTGAACTGATCAGCAGAAAGAGAGGCATGTATTTCAAACTAATGATTAAACATAAACATTTCCTGTCTGCCCCCTATGGCTCCAGCCAACGCTGGGCCTGGTGTGGAGTCTCCCCATGTCCTCTAGGGGGCACCAGGACACCTTAGTCTATCAGCAGGGACAAAAGAAAAATCACTTTTGTTCTTAGAATCCTGAGAAAAGTGTTAAGTCAAAACAAAACTAAACTTAACAAACTGTAATAAAGGACTTTAAAATACTCTGTGAATATGACTATTAAGTCTAAAGGCATAGTCCTATTTTCTAGAGTCAGTGTTAATTAGCTTTCCTGCTGGTCGCCTGGATTAATTAGAATATAAACTCACTGTAAGTCCTGTTTGTTTAAATGATGCTACCATACTGATGAATCACTTGACCCTCATTCACTGCATTCAAGCATTGTGAACACACCTCTTCTCTTTCCCGTGGAATAATCCCAGCCCCTTTACGCCCAGATCAGACACTGGTTTGTATTATTCAAATTCACCCTCTGCCTTGAATCCTTCTGTCACTTAAAACAACTTCAGATGATACTTACTAAATAGTATATTCAGATATCCTATTTCCATATTTCTCCAAATCTGAACTGTCATCACTGATAGTAAGATATACCATTATTTTATGTACCGTTAAGAAAGGAAAAAGCATTACCAATTAGAATAGTAAGATGCTGTCCACTGTAAAATGCATACTGATTTCAGAGGTGGTAAACTGAGATACCTACATTTCCAGGTTGACAACATTCAGTGTTTAATCAACCCACAGAAAGTGTTTATTACGCCCTCTTGTGGAGGCAATGCAGATAAAATCCCTAAGTTACAGATCCTCAATTTTCTCAACCAGTATAAGTTTTAGAGATCATTCAGTTTGTCTCTTTTATTTGATTCAGATAGGAATTGAAACCTAAGTAACTAACCATTTCACTTAAATGTTAGCTAGTGGAAGGGTCAGAATTCAAACACAGTGTCTTGACTTTCCAGTTAGTGTCCTTTCCTCTATGTGGCTCTAATGTTTTCCATTATATGATTTGAGAGTAAGGAGGTAATTAAAGAGACAATGTTGTTGGCAGAACACTTAGTTGAATGCGGTTATGATCTTTTCCACCTCTACTCCATTTAGGTCTTTACAAGTAGAATTCTGGCTTTTTCCTAAAGTGTCCTTGTCATTCAAAAAGTCAAGGCAATTAAATAACTAAAATTAATATTTTGAGCTATAAAGAAATTTCTCTAATGGCAAAGATATATTGAAATAGTCGCAAATACAGAGAACTATAGAGAAAAATGCTAGGAAAACACAATTGGGTGTACTTTGCTTGAATGCTTTCTTGGATTTTATCTTAGTGATTTCTGAGGCAATCTTCTGAACAAGATATTTGAAATTGTTTGTTTAAACATTAACCTTTCTATGCCATATGAATCTGTGAAATGTACATACTGAGAGATTAATTTTATTCTAAATATATTTCCCACTATGTTACTGAACTTCTGTATGATGTGCAGTAATATTTTTTTAAATGGTTACACTGAAGGACTGAGATAAATGGGCTTTTTTGAGCATGGAAGTATAGACAGATGATTCTTATTCTCAATCACTATTTGTTCTTCTATATTTAAAAAACAATAAATAACAATATACAAGCTCACTCTACAGGAGAGTTTTTTATTTGCTTTGGTAGCTATTTTAATTTGTTTTGGTGCTAATAATGCTCAGTTTGCAGAATAAAAATAAAACTTGGATGGCCCCTTTAGACCCTGAATATTTAAGTCATGTTTGATGACATGATGAAATTACTTGAAAGTCCTCACCTCAGGGTTTTAGAAATCAAGGTCACGGTACCCCAGGTTGACTGTTTAGACCAAAATAAATGAAATAGCCAACTGAGTCAATTTAACTTTTTTCCAGTTATCTAAAACTTTGGTGGATTTTTCTGGACAAAATTGAGCAAATCAAGTTGAGTAGATGGGTTGGATTTTTGTACGATGGTCTCAATAGGCTTTTTCAGCATAAGAAAAACATCATCTCAAGTGCAAAGAAAATAAATAATTCCTCATGTGTTATAGACATGTAACTAAGAAATAGGAAGATTTCAAAATTTTCTATGATTCTCCTGGGAAAAGAAGAGATAAAATCACTATCTAAAAGATGTAACGCAGTGGATCATGAACTGAGAGGGAAGTAAAAATAGAATAAAAGTCTCCTTAGTCCACATGCTTAAATCTTGAGATCATAAATGGAAACTAATATTCAGAAACCCTAACAAATCAGCAGGTGAAGAACCCAATGTTATTATAATCTTCCCCATTCCTGCTTCATTTGGGGAGAAAGACAGCACTTAGGTTTCTACCAGTGGAATCCCGATCCTTCCTAAAGGGTCTCTGTCATTAAAAAAAAAAGTGCAATATATGTGGAAGTATGGAGAAAACAATTTACTCAAGAGAGACCATGTTCATTCATCTCACCGAGAATGCTGAACATTCTAAAATCAGCAGAGCATAGATCTGTTCAATATATTTCACCTGAAAAAAGAGATGTTCTTTGATTTCATCTGCATCACGTGGACCACACCCCAATCTTTTCTTAGGATCTTTCATCAAAAGACGCTGAATTAGGTCTTTAGCTAAAGCGCTCATATCTTGGGGATACGGAGGTTCACTTTTTAATATTCTCCTGTAGGCAGATAAAACTGGCTGTTAAAACAATCAGAGGATGAAGTTATAGTGACGGTATTCTTAGCAAAATCAAGAATAGTATACAATACACTGAATAAAATATGTTTGAAACTGAACAAATATGAAAACCAGAGACAAAGATATTTAAAATATGAAATCAAATTTCTGAAATGCAAATAAGCAGAAACGAAAAGTATTGGGTTATTTTCCAATATAAATCAATCCTAACAAGAAGCCACTACCCCAAATATTTTATTGGAAAGAAATTAAAAGGCAGGCTCAGGGCTAGGTTAGACCGCCTACCTAGGTACGGAGTAACTCTACGATCAAAGACTTCACAGCGGAAACAACTCTTGGAAAAATTCAGGGAAGTGAGTTCAGTATCGAGACTTGAAAGGACAAAAGAGACCCCAACGCAGCTGCCCCACTCCTCTTTCCGTGTGCCGGCGAACACAAGGGGCGGCGGGAATGCAGAGGGAAGGAAGGTCAAGGCAGGGAGTCGGGACTGCTAGGACCCGGCTCAGCTCTTGACATGGGAAGATCAGTACCAGAGCTGGGGGCTTTTTATGAGAGAAAGTTTCTGCTTCCTTACCTAGAAGAAGGCAGGAGCCACTCAAAGATGGAGGCAAGTCTGATCTTTATTAGGACAAGTAAAACATTAAGAGAATCAAGTTCCTTGATGCAATATCTGAATTTATTCTGAGGTCACAGAAGAAATCAATACAACCCAAATGGAACTTTGTCCCCTTCCTTCCCTCCCCACAAAGCCAGATCAGTAATTTAATGAGAAAGAAATAATGGAAGGGACGGATTGAAATTAATAAGCTTAACAGAATCTTCATAGAGATAAAGTTACTCCATTATGTGGGTTTGCAAAAAGGTTCCCTGTTGTGCATTAAGACATGAATAACTGTTATGAAACAAAACAGATAATAAGGTTACAAGATAGTATGGTACGGTAAGAACATGGACTTCGGAGGCAGACTGAGTTCATACTCGGGTTCAACAAGCTCTGCTGCTTATTGGCTGCAAGATCTTGAGATAATTAATCTCTCTGTACCTCAGTTTTCTCAACTGTAAAATGGGGACGACAGCCTACCTAAAATGGGTATTAAGACGTTTAAATGAGTTAAGATACGATGTGCGGTGCCAAGCACAGCAAAAGCCTGGTAAAATGAGCTACAGGAAAGTCTCCCTCCTAAGACAACTCACAAAACAGACTGTAGTGAGCAGCCGCCGAGAATCTGTGAGGGGACAGGAGAGCTGCAATTTTTGGCTAAAACCCCCAGCAGCGCTGTTCCTTTCAACGCTAATTTGGTTTCTAGCACTGCATCCCGAGAACCTGAGAAAATGACTGTAGAACAAGTGAAAAGATAAGCAGTACCCTCTGCTGTTTTTGATTCTTTAGTGCTCTCCCACTGCTCGCTGCATGTCAGCATTTTCTGCAGTAGAGACAAGGCCTCTCAGATCAGGCGCCTGCAGGTGTGATGGAAACTGGGGGCCCTGTCCCTTAGGGGGAAAAAAGCACAGCGTTTTCCATTTTCTCCACCTTTAAGGTATCTTTGCAGGCAAGAATTTATTGTGTAAGAGGATCAGACTACAGATACATTGTTGCTGGCGTCCACTTTCCTGCACCAGGGTACAGACACAGCACTGGCTGGCATCCTCTGAGTTCCGACCCCATGCTGTCTATTACTCTCACCCTGCGCCATCTGCTGTTTACTGGAAATCTACTCTGTGCCAGGCACTGAGGAAAGAACAGTCAGTCACACTGACCATGGGAACAGGGATGGCCACACCGGGATGCCAAAATTGGAGAGGGAAGTAGAAGACCTGTGTCACCTTGGGGCACACAAACCACAGCATCGGTGTGCAACCAGTGTGTGTGGCAGGTGCCCCGTTCGGGGAACCAGAGTTCTAGATTCGGACGAGGCCAGGATCGGATCATGAAGACGCTGAGTGGAAATTGGAAAGAATTCCTGTCGAAAGCAGTGCTGATGAGGGTACATGGAGAGCAAGCAGGGTGGCCCCCAACCCTTGCCTGTCCTGAGTGAAGATCACAAGGCCAGAGCCAGCAGGAGACCCTCGCAGATGGTGCGGAACACCCACTCGGCCTGGACAAGTGGAAGCAAGAGCCACACCAGAGACTCCTCCCTGATGTCTCTGCAAATGGTCCCTTAGCGGAACAGTGTTCCTTTAGCGGATGCAGAGTGCCGAAGCGTTTTCCTGGTAGAGAACCGAACGCCAGGAAGAGAACAGGAAATGGGGATGCGCTGGTAGAGAGGAAGGGCTCGCAGCAGGCTTTCACCTTTTCTCCATGGGAGGATGATCTCAGATTTACCTTCTTACACAGTGTCCTTGAAATGTATGGATCAGAAATGTGAGATGCCAGCCATGCCCTGTTATTGTGAAGTCACCCTGAGAGGTGAACTGCACCTGGCCTGAGTGGTGTGAGTGGGCACATGAGCCCCGAGGGTTTTCTGGTCCAGGACCATTAAAGCACTTTCAGACAACTGCAGCATCTCAGTGTTATCTCTTATCCCTAAGGGAGTTAGAAGACACAGTTCCTGTGCTGAGCTACCCATGCTGGCCTGGTGCACACCCACCACCTGATCTCATCACTACTGGCTGAGTGTGTCCTTTGGAAGGACCCCCTGATGACACATTTGATGTCACTAACGCCAATTCACTCTGCTTCCTGACCTGTATTTTTCTACAAAGCTAAGTAAACTGGTGCCCTGGTTTTCCAGGGCTCCAAACCCGCTACCTTCCTAGGGGGCGCTGCAGAGGACAAATTAATAATACAGTACAGTGTGATCCGCCAGCACCCCACATTATACAAGTGAAGCAGGTGCAAAGAGATCTAAGGCACAATGAGAGAAGATAAAAGAGAAAGCTGAGGGAGGTGAGTGCCAGGGAAGGGTCGCTTGCACTCTAGCCCAAAGCGGCTGCCCTGCTCACGTGGATGAATGTGCAAATGAACAGCTACCGCGGCAGACGTGAACAGATTGGGGTTAACTAGTTAAAAAAACAACCTGGAGAAATAGATGCTGCTATTGGGTACAAAAATACCTAAAATGAGGAAAAAAAGAAAAAATCAAGAAGTTTATTGGGCATTAAGAAGGCTTTATAAAATATACCAGTAAAGGATTTTATCACAAAGACATGAAAAGAATAAGAAAACCAAAAGATATATATGTAATTTCTTTTTAAAACATGGTAAGAAATACTGATACTTGTAATTTTTCTATACACAACTCTGAATGCAACACATCCATAAACAGAAATTTTAATGACAAATGAGCTAACTGAAGATGATACTGAGTAATTAACATGGATGAAATACAAAAAAACTCAACAAATTACTGCTTGATCCCATTTTAGCATACTACACTACATCCCACAAAATCAATGTATGAAAATAATCACCTAAAGAGAAAACGCATCTTGGGAGGACAAAGAAGTTAACTACCCAAACCTCTTGTAAAGGGCCCAAGGCAGTCAGACTTCTAAGGTGGTCCCCAACGATCACTTGTGTCCAGGGCCTTGTACGACCCCCCCGTGCTTAGCAGGGGCTGCACCTACAGACTTCCTTACACCCAACAGTAACAACAGAGATGACAGGATGTCACTTTCATGATTAGAACATTCCGTCTTCCCAGGGGACTCGCTCTACTGCCCTGCTACCTCGCACGCTTTGAAGAGGCAGGCCACCATGCTGGACGGGCCCACACGGCAAGATGGTCCTCAGCCAACAGCCAGCGAGGAACGGATGCTCTGTTACTCCAGCCACCCTGAGGAACTGAATCCTGCCAACCACCACGAGGGCTTGGAAGCAGATCCTTTCCCAGCTGAGCCCTAAGAGGGATACAGCTCAGCCAACACTTGGCGCCATACGAATGACCTTGAAGTAGAGGACTCAGCTCAGCTTTGTCCTGATTCCTGATGCACAGAAACTCCTGACATAATAAATCTATGTTGTTTTCACACATTTCAGGTCATGTGTTTCCTAGCAATGGATAATGGATAACCAATACAAGGCCATGCAACAGATATTTCAGACCTGGAAAGCTGTCTGGCCTCTGGGGCACCTATCCAACTCTGCCGCAGTAGCTGCGACGCAGCTGGAGGTGATCTGCACCCGCCGAGCACGGCTGTGCACTGATAAAATGTACTTACTGGCGGGCACTGAAATGCCGGCTCCACGGAATCTTCACATGTCACAGGGTACGGCTTCTCTTTAGAGTTTTTAAACCACTTAGGAATATAAAACCCATTCTTTTTTTTTTTTCAAACTATAAGAGAAAGATTATTTAGAAAGTTACAGAGGCAAAAGGAGGGCTCTTGAGGCTTAGGAGAGACAAAGGCAAGGTAATCTGCCGGGGGGAGGGAGCGGGGGAGGGGAAGAGCACCAAGATCCATTCTTAGCTCAGAGGCCACACACGAAAACAGGCCGCAGAATGGATTTGGCCAGAGGGCAGTGGTTGGCCAACCCCTGACTTAAACAGTACAGTTAGGACTGCTTAGCATCCTTTGGATACTACTAAGACCCGAATTTAATAACGTTATGATAGTACAATGAACATATTAAGAAAGCCCATTTTATTGACGGAAAATGAAGAACCAAGTAAACATCTCTTGGCAAACATTTTCTACATTTCGAAGGCAGAGAAAGGGAGACAGACGCCCTGGCAGAGATGGTGGAGCCTCTGGAAGGGAACCCGGGGTCCTGACTCCCAGCGGAGGGCACAGTCAGTCACCACGGTTTACAAAGCCCCAGCACAGCTAAGGGCTCCCAGGGCGGGGGCCGGTAGAAAGACCGAAGGAGGTGCCAGAGTCTGGGTGGGCGCCTTCCCGTGCAGCGGTAACACGAGCCCTAAGAGAAGTTCCACACGAAAAGGCGACAAAAGCGAGTAGGAGAGCAAGAAAAGCACACGTTACAAACACGAAATAAAAATAAGAAACAGACTCACAGAAAAGCTAAAGAGCAATCATTCA